CAAAATAAAGCTTCGAGTATATTAAACAAAAGTAGAGTTATAAATGTAAAACTAAATATTGAGTTAGAAATCTGAAAATAAATATAGAGTTTTATATGTAAAAAAAAAATGATGATATATTTTACCTATATTTTTTCTATAACAACTTAAAAAAAAAATTATATGAAAAATATAATAAGCTATGAACTGAAATCAAAATCTATAGGTTGTTCAGTAAAGCCATCAAATCTGATAATACTAATACGCTAATTTAATAGTAGTAGTTAATAGTCGACTTACGTCATTCTATTTTAAAGTAGTTTCTAAGCTTTTTTATACACGGTTTTTTTTTTTTAATTTTATTTACTAACAATTTTATTTACTAACTTACTTTTTTAATTTTATTTACTAACCTGTATTACGGGTTGCTTACTGCTAGTTTGTTTAATTAGTAAATTGTTTGTTTTAAATTTTAAACTGTGACAAAGTTACGAAGTTTTTAAGCGAAATATAAAATAAGTGTTTTGCACCAATCAAATTTTAATAAAACTACCTTGTGACCCGCAAAACTTTACTATGCAAACTCAGGGTAACAACACTTCAAAAATTTGTATATTCACAACAATACCTTGTGTGTTTGGAAAAACCTAAACTTAACATGGGCACATTAGATTTGCTTTAAATTTTGAGGATAGGTAGTTTAATAAATATTCTAAAGGAACCTTTGAATTTAAAAAGGACCTTTACTTATTTTAGGAGTTGTGGTTTATAGAAAAACATCAAGGATTTAAAATATAAAATTACACTATATATTATTTACAAAAATAACTATGTAATAAATCAAGTTATAGGTTGAACTTTTTTTAAAATAAATAAAAAATTTCTTTTCATTTGGCTCACAAGTAGCGATACAGCTTGGTTTAGCCTAATTCAGCTTTTTGCCAAATTAAAAAAAATGTGGTCCAGTTTTTATAACACTTTTTTTACGTCGAAATAATAAATATAAAATATATATATATATAGATAGATGAGAGATGAGAGAGAGAGAGAGTTCCCACTACTAAAACTGGGGCTAAAAATAAGTATATTAAGGAGATTTAAGGAGATATTTTTCTATTATTTAAGGAGATTCAGAACTTTTTGAAGAAAAAAGTAAGGAGAATTAAGGAGAAAACAATTACACTAAAAACAATTACACTAAAAATTTTAAATATAAATAGATTTCTCATAGTTGCAGTATCATCGAAAGAGACGTTATGTTTCCTTACATGGTTTTAATACTATTTTTTAAAACCCTATTCCTACCCCTAACCCTGACCCTAACCCTAACACTGATGCCCAACTTACTAGCTAAGTTTAGTCCTCGAAGTATAGAATCCAGTTCACTTATATTGATATGGTGTGTGTCACTCGCTGGCCGTAGCCATGCTGCGTCTTTAACAAATACTCCACCAATGAGCAGAACTACCCCAAGTCCTATAGATGATGCATCACAATAAAGCTCAGCTTTCCCATTAACTGGTACCAGCCATTTTCCACCAACCGGATCCTCTTTTTCCACACGGTAAAGCAACTCTTTCAGTTTTTCTTTACAATCTTCAGAAATAAAATCACACCAAGGTATATTTCCAGCTAAACGTTTGATGTATGAAGCTTGTAAACGCAAAATTCCTGCCACTGGGTAATGTCCAATAAGTTTGCCTAACTGGCTGAAAAGCTGTGATCGTGTGACTGCATTTAAAGATTCGAATTGTACCACACTGTCTCATTTCCATATCAGTTCCCCATTTTTATTTCTTTCGACTCTCAATCCTAAGACACGTCCTTGTTCAAGATCTTGTGGAGGTTTACATTGTAACCCAAATTTAAGCAGATGCTTCGCTACATTTTTCGCAGTTTCCACACTTTCATCCACAAATATATCATCAATGTAGTTATAACATGCTTTTTTTTCGGTTGGATTTAAATTGAGCACATGCCAAAGAATTGTGGTCATTATTGTTGGAGCCACATTGATGCCAAAACACATCCTGGTAAAACAATACCGTTGCCCATATATAATCACCGTTTGATATGGCCAAAGTTTTTTATCAATATGAATTTTGAGGTAGGCTTTTTTAAGATCGAGAATTTTTGCATTTTTTATTTTTCTCCAGCAACGCAGTTTTTTTTGACCAACGTCCGCATTTGCCGTATGACAATTTACAAATTCGTTGAGAGCTCGGAAATCTCCCACTGGACGTACCTTTTTGTCCTTGTTTTCTTGCACTACGCACATAAGCGGTATCAATACTTTTGGTGGTCCCAATATTAGTTCGTTATATGGTACAAGAATACCAGAGTCAATCCATTCACGTATTTCTTTACGGTAACTACGCTCGTGCTCTTGGTTCATCTTGTATTTATAATCTATAGCTTTATATATTCTTTCTAACATCTTATACAAAAATCTTTTCTCTATATATTAAATTAAAAAGTCCCATGAGAATATACTGTTAATTACAGTTGAAATAACTTACGTAGATGCGTGACTTTCAACACGCACTTACGTAGATGCGTGACTTTCAACACGCATCTACGTGTTTTTGTGAATTGTACGTGATTTCTAACACGTACAATTCACCAACATAATAGTAGTTCTGTTCTATTATTATGTTGGTGAATTGTACGTGTTAGAAATCACGTAGATGCGTGTTGACGCATCTACGTAAGTTATTTCAACTGTAATTAACAGAATATTCTCATGGGACTTTTTAATTTAATATGTATAGAGAAAAGATTTTAAATGTTCAGACGTATTTAACATTAAAATCAGCTTTTACAAACAATGCGATTTACTCGTCGCCACGTATGTCAAATATCATTTTAGCAGCCTGTTCGGAGTATTTTAAAAATAATTTTCTTTTTTGTGCATTTTCGATAGCTTTACTTGCTAATTCCTGAAGAGGGTTGAATATCGGATTTCGGTCCAACACGTTAACAAGTTTTGCTGAAGAATGGCATGTTAATTTGGAATATCGAGCAGCACATCGAGCTCAAGGTAATGGTATAGTTGAACGTATACACAGAACGATAAAAAGAACGGTCGCTCGCTCACATTGTTCAATCGCTCTGGCAGTCTTGCTGTACAACGAGACAATATCATCCAATTGTACTGAAAGTCAATCCAAGCAATTCAAGAAAAGATCGACATGTTTCATCCCAGGCGTCGATACTCGGAGGAAGGTAGACGAGAAAGGCGTAAGCAAGAAATTCAAAGTTGGTGACAATGTTTGGGTAAAACCAACTCAAGAAACAAAATGTGACCAGCCGTGGATACCAGGCGTAGTACGAAAGCAAAATACTTTGTCGTTTGACGTGGAAACTGCGAATCGGGTATATCCGCGTCACATTTCAAACCTGCGTCGCCGTACAGACGTACAGAGTTCAAATGAATCAGTCAACGATGTTTTTTATAGACGAAACGATAAAACTGATAACGTTAAAGGAAGTTATAATGATGATGTCGCTCAAGTTCAAAATGATTCTCAAGAACTCAACGTGCTGCAAGTAACACGCTCCGGACGAACAGTAAAGCCCCCACAAAGATTAGACATGAGTTAATTCACCAAGAGGGCATGTTCTATTATTATGTTGGTGAATTGTACGTGTTAGAAATCACGTAGATGCGTGTTGAAAGTCACGCATCTACGTAAGTTATTTCAACTGTAATTAACAGTATATTCTCATGGGACTTTTTAATTTAATATATATAGAGAAAAGATTTTAAATGTTCAGACGTATTTAACATTAGAATCAGCTTTTATAAACAATGCGATTTACTCGTCGCCACGTATGTCAAATATCATTTTAGCAGCCTGTTCGGAGTATTTTAAAAATAATTTTCTTTTTTGTGCATTTTCGATAGCTTTACTTGCTAATTCCTGAAGAAGGTTGAATATCGGATAACACGCCACTGTAGTTGGACACGCTCTCAATATTGAATCTTGTAACATATCTTTATTGCAACCAATGAAATTTCGCTCTGATTTTACATCGCATGCCAGGCTTCTCATAAGTATACCGTTTATTCTTACTGCTGGTTGAGATCAACAACAAACAACAACAACAACAACAACAATATATATTCTGTAATAATAGTTTACATTTCATGGTAGTTTACTAATAATACGAGTACTAATCAAAGGTAAACACCAATTAAATAATAATACCAATCATATAATAATAATAATAATAATAATAATGATAAAAGCAATAATAATAATAGCAATAATAAAAATAGTAATAATAATAGCAATAATAGCAGTTGTAATAATTATAATAATAATAGCAATAATAACAATAATAATAATGTAAATTAAACGAAGACGATTATAATAATACCAATAATACTATTAAATATAATAATGACAATAACAATGATTATATCAGTAATTATAATAACAAAAGCAATAATAGTAGTAATAATAATAGTAATGAAGTTAACAACAATAGTAACAACAATAATAATATTAACAAATATCACATTCATATATTAAACAATTCCAATAAGTAATAATGGCGGTAATAAAAATGCAAATAAAATGTAAGTAATATTAACATCACATATAATAATAATACTAATAACAATAGTAATAACACGCCACTGTAGTTGGACACGCTCTCAATATTGAATCTTGTAACATATCTTTATTGCAACCAATGAAATTTCGCTCTGATTTTACATCGCATGCCAGGCTTCTCATAAGTATACCGTTTATTCTTACTGCTGGTTGAGATCCGTTACAACTTAAAGTTATGCCATTGGCTCCTACATCGGCTATTGTTACTCGCAGGAAAAATAGTATTAAAACCATGTAAGGAAACATAACGTCTCTTTCGATGATACTGCAACTATGAGAAATCTATTTATATTTAAAATTTTTAGTGTAATTGTTTTTAGTGTAATTGTTTTCTCCTTAATTCTCCTTACTTTTTTGTTCAAAAAGTTCTGAATCTCCTTAAATAATAGAAAAATATCT